AATAATCAACAGACAGCTATAGTTTCTTGTCAAAAGCGACGAGATAAGGTTTCAGACTGATTTTGTATTAAATGAAATGCATACTATTTTAAGCTTTTTGTCCTATATATCTACTTACTTTTTGTCCTATATATCTACTTATATCCATTTTCTTCATGGTGAAGCAATGAAGAAAATGGGGCAAATCTTCAGTGAAGATCTATGAGAACTTTTGAATAGAGCACTGGCCAGAAGAGTGTTCTTTCATACAAATTATATTATTATAAAAATTATTATATTAAATTAAATACACTACTGGTTTCCACAAAAAATTTAAGCAGCACAAATATTTTAAACATTTTCAACTGTTTTCAAGAAGAAATGTTTCTTGAGCATTAAATGAGCATATTAGAATGATTTCTCAAGGATCGTGTGACACTGAAGACTGGAGTACGGATGTTGAAAATTCATATTTTCCATCACTGGAACAAATTACATTTAAAATATATTAAAATTGACAAATGCAGCTTTTAGCTGATTAAGTGTTCCACGTAAACCATGCAATCTCATAACAATAAATCTTCAAAAATGTATTGTACACACTGTGCTGGATATTTAAAGATTTCAAAGGGTTTTCTTAAAGCACACTAGTGTTTTTTTCTGTTTAAAGGCATCATTTGCCCAAAAAGGGACCTTATGTTGTCCCAAAGCTGTATGACTTTTTTTTCTTTTATTCTTTGGAACACAAAAAGAGATGTTTAGAAGAATTTCAAGGTTGTGTTATTAGTGCTGTCAAACAATAAATTGTGATTAATCGCATCCAAAATAAAAGTGTTTGTTTACATAATATATGTGTGTGTACTCTGTATATTTATTATGTATAAATAAATACACAAACATACATTTATATATTTAAAAAATATTTACATGTGTGTGTGTATATATGTATTTATATTCATATATAATTATATTATATATAAATATTTTATATATAAAACATTTTTCTTAAATATATACATGCATGTGTGTGAGTATTTATATATACATAATAAATATACACAGTACACACGCATATATTATGTAAACAAACACTTTTACTTTGGATGCGATTAATCGCGATTAATCGTTTGACAGCACTATTTCTATACACTTTATGACAGGGACAGCCATTCAATTTCATCGTATGGAAATGAGCAGCTTGGACATTCTGCTAAAAATCTGCTTTTGTGTTCTACACAAGAAATAACTACTCTTTTAACCAGGGCTTGATCTGACCTTCTCTGCTCTCTGAGATAAATGCTAAATTGACTTGAGATGTGAGATGTTCGATCTGTGTCCCTCAATATCTGTCTGTTGTTTTTCAGAGTGAGAGAATTGAGAAAGGCCAGGGAACATGAGAGCGTCCAGAAGAGCCCCCTCACAATGTGACATTACTCTCTCCAGACTCTTCCTTTCAGTTTTTCTGTTTCAACCAGAGACGTTTTACAAGAGGAAAAAAAATAGCAAGAACACTGCAACTCTTACTATAACTGTATGACTGATACTTTGGCTACTAAACAACTGCGTTTTTCATATGTCTTTATTCCTTCTATGTTTCTGAAGAAAAGAGCCAACTGCTGTGGATCAAAACAAACTCTAAGGACGTTGTTTTAGGAGGAACAACATTTGCTTTCTGGCATTTTTTGCACTTTTTAATGGATTGATTTGTCATTTTGGATGAGCATTAAAATGTTTTGTTTGAAAAAGGGAAAAAAAAGGAATGGAAGTCCTGCTCTTCAGTGGCAGGAAGAAAGAAAGAAAAAGAAAGAAAGAAAGAAAGAAAGAAAGAGAGAGACAAAATATGGAGTTGACACAATCATGGCCGGACCTGTTCCGAGTGTATTTCATTGTTTTCAAAAGATCACAGGATGTGTTTAGTGGGTAAAATTGTTACCAAAAATGATGAATAATTCATGAATGTACATGCTTTACTCCACAACCAGACAAATTCGTCAGAAACTTCTTTCAGTCTGTCCCTTATGGTCACCTGTCTTCTCTTAACTACAAGGGGACTGGGTAGCTTATCAATGTAAAGACGGAAATGAGCAGGCTCGGGTGATGAGGCAAATGCTGATGTTATTTTGCTAACAAGACATGTGGAATCAACAACTATTTTCAAATTGATGATATTCAGCCAGTTCAGAGTTAGCAAGACATCACAGAGCAATGGATCGCTCCAGGCAGAACTTGTCTTATGCATGCTTGAAACTAGGCCGCAGCATTTTAGTTTTTAACTACATGAATGTACTGGAGACACCAAATGTCATCACCTCTGCCCATCATTTACTATTGGCCAGTTTGTAAAGTTTTCTTTTGTTAATCCAATGTTAAACAGTCATTGGTGAAGCTTTCGTTCAGTTGAAAATCAACTTAAGAGGTTTTCTAAGCTGTTTAAGGGAAAATTACATGCATTGCCTTGATATCTTTGACATACTTTGAAGGGTCTCCACACCCAGGGTTAGACAAATCCATACTTTTTGACAATTGAGCGGTTCCTGTACATAAAGAGGGTTGCCGGTACGCAAAGTAAAACATTTATCTAAGCGGGATTGTATTTTAGAAATATATTATTTTACTCATTGAAAGGAATCAAAACAGATTAGCGTCAAAATCTGAATATTTGTATAGTTTTGTTTGAATGCCTAAGAAGTATGGTTGTATCGTTTGTACATAGTGTAAATACCTGGGATAAAGTCAAGCTACTGTATGTGCATGACAAAAACGAACACAGATACAAAAAAAAAGAGTTCAAAAGCATTAGTGGCTATGCTCTGTAAAATTATTTCACTATAAGAGTATTTTATTTTACTTTGAATGTTCTTGAGAAGAACATTTTGCTAAAGCATGACTTTCCTGCGATTATGAAAAATACAGTATTTATGAGGTAGGAGAAAAGGCAAAATGATCATTAGGTTATGTTTACATCTGTTTGTTTGTTTTTTTCTGGGCTACCAAGAACCTTTTTGCCAACGGTGCCAAGTAATGTGAATGCTACTGCTTAAAGGAAGTTAATCATTGCTGAACAGATAATCACATGGTAAAACGTGATCAGATTCACTTGCATTCAATAGCATAACCCGTCAACACAGTCGGTCAAGGATGATGGTGTATTCAGGAAGGATCTTAGTGTATCACATATCTCATTTGGTTTATTTGTACTGTATATTTGTTTGGTTTGTGTTTCCTAAGTCTGAATACTTTTGTATTCTGTCATTGAAATGATGTAAAGTATGTTTTTCTGTTATGAATGCAGGTAGTAGAGCTTATAGCAGCATTATGCAGCTTTAAGTAACATTCTGACAGTCTTATTACACAAGATGTGCAAAAAAAAAAAAACCTGTGAGCTGACAGTAAAGACAAAGAAGCTGAAATAATGAGAAATCCACACTGCTACACTGACTGAAAGTTTAGGTTCCCTGTTATGCATTTAAACGGGTTTCTTTTGGTGCTAAAACATTGGCGTCAAGGGCCTGGTAGACCTCCAAAGATCACTCAATTTCAGCAGTGTTGCAGTGATGTTACTTTCAACAGCAGGTGTCGCCGTGGTGTTTGAAAAAGGGAAAGTCTATGAAAACGCTCCTGAAAATTATTTCTAATGCACTACAATTGTGTAGATTTCAGTTTCCCCTCATATCAAAATGCTTTTTGTCATATTTTGTATTTGCGTCTCTGTTCAAGAGAATGATATGTAAATGTTTTCTTCAGAGTGCTTATGTTGGAAGTGCCTGATCATATTCTAAATCCAGCGAGCCATGTCAGTCTGCATGTGAGGTTTGCGATGGACTGGCATTAGCGAGAAGTGAATAATAGTCTGTCCGTTTTTTATTTTCCATTACGTAACTTGTTTCTTTGTCCGTGCTTTCTCCGTGTAAGTTATTTCATTTATGGCTTCGTCATATCTCACGTCCTCTATTGGAACTGCCAGATGAACCCGCGAGAACTGCAGATTTCAGTCCGGCTGGTTCTTGCCTTGCATTCATCATTCCGGTAGCAGTTTAGGTTGTCAGCTGATGCACTGCGGTGGCAACTCGAGTCTTATTATACTTGCATGGGTAACATAGATAACCGGGTGGCTAAAAACAGCACCCAAAGCATGCTTATTTTTGTAGATTTGGTAGTCAGGTAGACTTGTCGAAGAAATACTGTTCTGTAAAGCAGCTGGTTTCATGGGTTGCAGAACTTGAAACAGACCGAGGGCTTCGAAACGTAACTTTACAATACAAAAAGTCAAAACAGCTGGCAGATATACAGGGGCAGCATGAATCTTTTTTATTTTTTTAATAGAATTTGGCTTCCTGTTTCCTCTTCGAATTCAGTCTCACCCCACTTCCCATTTACATTCCCATTTTTTCAACTACACCTCCACAAAAACAGGTAAAAAAAGACAAAAACTGTGTACCTCATAAGAAAGCATGCACCACAGAACTGTGTCCATATCCACGCTAAGTGTCCATGGCACTGGTGCAGTTGAAACCTCGGGTGTGAATCTGACGGGTTCACTTTTGTATCTTAACTCAGGTGCCAAACTGGAGAAAAGGAGCGATAGAGCAAGTCACTTGAGAATTAGTTGCTGCTTATTGGGAAACGAGCCAGACTGTCCTGATCAAATTACTGTGATTCTGAACATGTCATGCTGTTCACCTTTTTTTAATCAACTGTGTGAGCTGAGTTGATGTACCTTAGGTCTATAAAAACCGATTTGTCGAAAGCGCGGCACTGACTGGTGTTGTATAAGAGTGATTAAGCCCGTTGGAATGGAGCAGGTCTACTCGAATGCGTCTGATGCTTGTGTAAATACGCATGGATGTTTCCGTTCAATGCAGCGTCTCCGCATCGTCACTATATAAACACACTGCCGTGGATATACTGTCTCACAATAATGAAACATGCTGCTCGGATCGATTCATGAACATAATTACTTTATAGCCATAGATAGACGTTTTAAAACAAAAGAGTAGCTGTAGTTTATAAATGCCAGACAATAACCTCATCTGGTCGCATACGGGTTCATTTTGACAATTCTGCTTCAGCTTTAACGGTATCAGAGCTCAGCCCACAGAAGATACCTCATCAGTTTTGTTTGTCGCATCAACAACTTCGAGCAGAGACTGCCTTTCCTGCGCATCCATTCTTTAGAAAAGGGAAAGCAGGGCCCTAGAAAACATCCCACCACTCACGGGCACAGAGCAATAAGCAATTCCTGAAGTGGAGACATGTAGACCTAATGGGGACAACGATCTGTTGGACACACGTAGCTGATTTACTCTTATGCAAATGCCAGTATTGTGAGATTAGAATGTAGTAGTTTAAGGACAGTGCTTATAGGACACCCTTCATGGAGCTGCACGGTTTCATCCCTTTCAAACCCAGAAAATAGCGGCCCTGCCTTTATTACAGCTACACTTGGGGCTCTCTACACTTTGCATGTTAAACTAGTGTTAGATCTACTTTTCCTCTCCTCTCTAGCTGTCTTTCTCTGTCTTTTCCGATTATGTAGCCCTCTCCCTTCCTAATGACCCGGTTTTTTTTTCTTCTTTTTTTTTTTAATGTCTTTGTTTTTCTTCCTTCCCCCTGGTTTGAGCAATTTATTTTTGTAATTGTGCATGTTAAAGAGTCACTGAATCGATGGATATGTTAAAAAAGAGAATTCAGCTGCTGAAGCCATGCAAAATGTTTTGAATTGCCCTTAAAATATGAAAGATGTTTTCTGAATGCTTTATATTCTTTCTGCTGTAAAATAATAAAAGGGGAAAACTTAAGAAAAGCCTTTTTTTCCAAGTTATTTTAATGTCTTTTTTTAAACTATACTAAAGGAAAATGATTTAAACTGTACTAGTTCAACAACTAATTATATTTCAGGTGAAATTATTTGACTCAGTTGGGCCACCTGTTGGTCGCTGCAACACACTGCATCCTGACATTCGTGAAGATGCTGACAGTTTTAGGTCCAAATGATGACATTCATGTTTAATGAATCATGATCATGAATTAGTAAAAGATCATTTAAATTTTATAAATATTGGTTCAAATTCAGTGATTAAACTAATGGTTAGTTATTTTGTGTGATCAGGAATGGTGGACGCTTATGGGATTGATAGTTTATGGAAAAGGAAATGACTGCTGTGTGTGCATTTGTGCTTGTGCTGAAGAGGCATTTTTTGCTTTATTATTGACAACAGAACAGGGGACAGTGATGGGGTCAGTTACTGGCTGGGTTTATGGGCCAGGTAACTGCCCTCTGGACTCCAAACACGTGGTTATTGGTCAGACTCCTCTAAGGATATAAATTGTGAAGACTTCAGTGTAGCTCTGTGTTCTGCTTAACAACCACCACCGGGGAATTGTTGGAGGCTGTTCAGGTAAGGAACAACATCTTTGCCATTTTTGACTGTTATATCATTCTCATTTATTTCAGTTCTGATTTGCTTGTTTGTGCTAATCATTATGCCATAATACAGTATGTTTTGTAGAGAAAAAATAATACAGCTCTACATGTACATATAATGCATATCTGAAAAACATAATTATATGAACAACTGAAAATGTTTAATGTTTCAATTTGTATATGTACATAATTTATATTGTAATATTAAATTGTAACTTCTGTGTGTGTATAGTAGAAATGTGTGTGTGTGTAGCAATTAAACATTTTATTTAATAAATGAATACATTAACAAATTCATCATAAAATGACAATATATTAAGTAGATGTGTTATTAAAGAGTTACACATTTCAAAGTAGTTTTTACTTGTATTTATATTTTATTATATAATTATTGTAAGTCACGTTCTACTATTAAAATGTATACTATTTATTTACATATTATTTATTCTATTTAACAATTATTATATATTTGTTTAATGCCTAAAAGATAATTTATTGGCTATTTTCTTTTATTGTGTAATTTATGTATTTATGAAATTATTAAATTTTTTGAGACCTCATTTATTAGTGCATCATTATGATTGTGTTCAGTTTTACAGATATAATGAAGGGCACGTTCAGCGTGTCTGTCAGTCTGTTGCTGCTGTGTGTTTTGTGGGGTGACAGTCAGCCTGTACACACTGCTGCTCACACTGTCAGAGAGGTGAAGACACTTTTAGTATTTTCTCAGGTAGTGTCATATAGTCATAAAAATGAGAAATTGCTCATCAGTTTTTGTTTAAGGAATGTTGAACTACTTTTATTGTATGTGCGCGCGTGTGTGTGTGTGTGTGTGTGTGTGTGTGTGTGCGTGC